CCTGAGCAGCCCGGTGCCCCTCGGGGGTCAGGAGCCCCCGCCCAGCAGCAGCTGCTCTCGAGCGCACTGCCGCCTGTCCGTGCACCACCTGGTACACCACCACCACCACCATCACCACCACTACCACCTGGGCAACGGGACAGTCAGAGCCCCCCGAGCCAGCCCAGAGATCCGGGACAAGGATGCCAATGGGTCTCACCGGCTCATGCTGCCACCCCCCTCAACACCCACCCTGGCCGGGGCTCCTCCTGGGGGTGCAGAGTCTGTGCACAGCTTCTACCACGCCGACTGCCACTTGGAGCCGGTCCGCTGCCAGGCACCGCCTCCCAGGTCCCCCTCCGAGGCATCGTGCAGGACTGTGGGGAGCGGGAAGGTGTACCCCACTGTGCACACCAGCCCTCCACCAGAGATGCTGAAGGAGAAGGCGCTTGTAGAGGTGGCCCCCAGCTCTGGGCCCCCCACCCTCACCAGCCTCAATATCCCACCTGGGCCCTACAGCTCCATGCACAAACTGCTAGAGACACAGAGTACAGGTGAGAGCACCGGGCGGGGCCGAGCTGGGCTCCCTTGTCTGGGGACCAGGGTGTGGAGTGAGGGGACAGGGCTCAGATTTCCATCCTGCTTCTCAGGGCCATGGCACCTTTAGCCAGTCCCCCACCATTCGTTTGAACTCTGATTTCTTACCTGTTAAAATGGGAACTGTAATTCCTACACTGTAATAGTGATCAGTATCATGTAATGTGCACTAGCTGCGTGCTGCTGTGATAATATCCCCTACCGATGCCCGGAGCTGCGCCTGTCACATGCCTTGCAGGCAGGAACCCCTTGTTGCCTCCTGACAGCTCAAGGGCAAGCCTGCCCGTGCCTGCACTGCACTCAAAAGCAGGCTGGGTGGAGCGGCAGAACCTGCCCAAGATTATGCCCTGGGTGAACAGTGGCCTTGGGGCCACCTGACTCTGAATCCTACAAGCTGTGCTCCTTTTCACCAGGCTCAGAAGAGAAGTAGTGTGTCACTGTGCCCTGCATGGTGCCCGTACAAGGGGACTCACGAGCCTGAGTCTCATCCCTCCCCTCAGAGAGACCCAGGCTGAAGCAGCGAGTGCTAGAAGCTGCTGGTCCCATGCGGGGACACCCGGGTCGTGAGTGAGATACTTGCTGCTGTCTGCAGATGGGTCCCTCAGACAGAGGTGCCCTCCCCAACAATCGTGCTCACTGCACCCACTGCCCAAGGCCAGGGTTTCAGGAAGGATGGGAGAGGACATCTTGTAGGTACTCGGGGCCAGGGGTTCCTACTTCTTCCGCTGGCCCCCGGGAAGGTCACACACGACGAGTGTTTCCGTGTCCTCTTGTGTAGGAGGCGGGGCTGGAGTCCTCATCACCACCAGGTGCGCTTATAGCGAGGGTGGAAGCCCTGTGCTGTATAGACGTGGTCAGGAGAAGGAAATGTTGCTTTGTGCCCAGGAGCGGCGTGCACCTTACCTGGGTGGTCTCGAGATGCCTTTCTGTGATCAGAGCTGGATTTAAATGATACCGGTGTCTGAGGCCATGAACTGTGTGTGCGCACAGCCCGGCCAGTGTTTGCACGTGTGAAGGGGTGCGGAGTGTGTGTGTGTGATTGCACTCGTCTGGTGTTCGTGTGTGCACGTGTGACTGATAGTGTGTGTGTGCACGTGGGCGTCACCTCCTTCCTGCTCTCCATGCATGCTGGTGCATGTGAGTCTGACATACGCACATGGAGCAGTGTGTATTTGTGTATGTGTGTGCATGGGTGTGTGTGTGTACATTGTGGTGTACAAGGAGCGGATGCACTCGTGTGCATGTGTACCTGAGCGTGTGCACTTGGTGTCCCTGTGCCTGGTGTGTGTGGGCACAAGTGCACATGTGTGAGTGTGAATCTTAAGGACCCTTTGGAAAATGCTACTCAGAGCAGTGTTGCTTCGGACCTGGCTTCCCTGGGAAAGAGAGATGGTTGAGGTCTTTGCTGCCTAGGACACAGGAGCTGTAAGGACCCCAGAGGACAGGGAGGCCACCTCTCCACCTGACCCCAGGACACTGCAGTGACCGTCATCGGGTGCTGTGGGCGTCTGGGGCACTGCAATCACCCCTGCCTCCCTCACTTTGCCCATCTCCTGCCCTAGGCACCTGCCACAGCTCCTGCAGGTTCTCTAGCCCTTGCTCAAAGGCGGACAGTGGAGCCTGCGGTCCTGACAGCTGTCCCTACTGTGGCCGGACGGGGACAGGAGAGCTGGAGCCCGGCGACCACGAGATGCCCGACTCGGACAGTGAGGCCGTTTATGAGTTCACACAGGACGCCCAGCACAGTGACCTCCGGGACCCCCACAGCCAGTGGCGACGGAGCCTGGGCGCAGACACAGAGCCCAGCTCGGTGTTGGCCTTCTGGAGGCTGATCTGTGACACCTTCCGCAAGATTGTGGACAGCAAGTACTTCGGCCAGGGGATCATGATCGCTATCCTGGTCAACACCCTCAGCATGGGCATCGAGTACCACGAGCAGGTAGGGCGAGGGCTGCCCAGCTCCCAGCAGCTGCGATCTGGTATCTTCTCTCCTGAGCTCCTTTCCTGTCCTAGCTGAGCTGCTGGCTGCAGGGCAGGGAGGCAGGGTGTGGGGTCTCAGAGGCTGACTAGTGACGTCCTGGAGTTTCACAGTGCAGTTGCCCGGCAGGGCGGGCCTGTTCTGTCCCAGAGGAGCTGAGCTTTCTGAGGGCAGGCAATGTGCGTGGCCTGTGGGGAGAGATGGGTCACGGGAAGGGTTTGGGTCTCCGGAGAAGGTTGGGGGTTCAGCGGGAGGGGTGACTGGTTGGAGGCGGGAGCTGCTGGACCTATGCAGGTGGGAGCGAGCCAGGTCGGATGAGGGAGGGGTCTGTCCCCCATTGTCTGTCATCACCTTGATGTGAACCGAGGCAGCTCTGGTGGATGACAGCACCCGGCATGGCGAGGTGACTTGAAGCCAGCGCGTGGAGGGCTCATTCTGCACAGCAGGATGTTTGGTCAGGAGAAGAGGAGGCTCAGCAGCAGGCGAGCTGTCCTCAAATATTTGAAGGGCCGTCATCGACATCGTGATCGTGAGGGAGAGGGAGCAGGCTGAGCTGTGGGATCTGGGCTGAGGGGAGGAGGCTGTTCTGCCTCTCGGCGCTGGGCAGGGACAGAGTGTGGCCTGGGTCCTGAAGTGCCCTCCTGTCCTGCTCTCTTCTCCATCTCACCCCTGGGGCATTGGGAAGGGGTTGAGCTACAGGAAACCTCCTCTCCTACCGCACTGCGGCCGGCCGAGGCCTTAGGGAAGGGGCCTGTGGGCCAGCTGGGGCCTGGCTGGGCGGTAGGATCATGTGTGCGGTGTGGCAGACTGGGGAGGAGGCAGGGGGAGGAGAGGACAAGGCCAAGGCGCCTGGAAGCCCTCTGTCTGCCCCTCTCCGGCCAGGGGCTCCCCTGCCCCACTGCCACCCCGTCACACAGCACCCCTTGATCTTGTCTCAGCAGCCCAGCTCCCAGCAGCTGTACCCACTCCTTCCCTGTACAGGCAGCGTGGCAGGGGGGGCAGCGGCTGCATAGCCGGCAGGTGGGCTTGTGTGACACTACGGTGGGTGTGTTGTGTCTGGGCTGCGTGGGGTGTGGGTGTGCGGCACATACCAGCTCTACCAGCCTTCCAGGGAGAGGTGCTCCGCTCCACCAGGCGAGTGGAGGGATGTGGGGCACAGTATTTTCTCCCCCTGGGACCCAGGTAGTGGCAGCCCCTAATCTCCCATGACCTCCCCCTAGCAACTCCCTTCCAGCCCTGCCCAGCTCCCCTCCACACAGCGCGGACTCCTCAGTGCCCTCCCCTCTTCCCCAGAGGGTGCACCCAGATGTCCCTGCCCAGCCAGTGCTGCTGGTGGCGGCTTTGATGGTCCTGAGAAGAAGCTGAGTCACACAGACCTAGGGCAGATGAAGCCACAGCAAGCAGGCTTTCAGTTAGACGTCAAGAAGGACGAGCAAATAAAAGCTATCCGCTGGGGGGCCCGCAGGCTCTCCGTGCCAAGATCCTGAGGAACGTGGGGAAAGGGGAGACAGCCTGCGGCTCCCCCAAGCCGTCGTGGCGGCCCTTGAGCAGGCTGCGGGG